AGAGGAGGAAAGACAAAATATTGTGGTACTTTAAAGACAAGCAGATCAATTTCAACATGATCTTTTATGGATCACAACTACAGATGGGGACGAAGCTGTCTTGGTTCATGGGTCGTCAAACTTGAACCATGAATTGCCCCACAGTGACCCAATGAACCACAAATCAATTTGTCGGTTTGTTGGGTCATACTTTTTAAAGACAGCCCATGGGGCTACAGTATCTAAAAATCCAAAGAAGCCTTGGCCCCCACCGCCTTCCTATGCCGCACACAGCATAGGAACAGGAAGGAAGGTATCAAAGCAATCTCCCACCCCACTGCCTTTTCAAAAACAGCATGGCTGAGGGATGGCTTGGGACCAGCTTTCCCTCCCCTTCCTATGCCCCACGACAGAGGAAGAGGAAGAAGGGATCAAAGCAATTCCCTGGCCCCGCTGCCTTTCACCTGGGTCCCCCTTTGCTCCTCTTCCTATGCCCCAGCAGAGATAGGAAGAGGAATATAACATGATCTAAGTGATCCCGCAGCACAGCTGGGGGATCGCTTTGATCCCTTCCCTACCCTCCCTATGCTTTTATATTTGTCCCCATGTCTGAAATATAAAGTCTGAAATAAATTTATTAAGGTGCCAGAATATTTTCTTTCTTTTCTTTTCTTTTTTTCTTTTTTGCTTTTATTTCCTCTCCCCCCTGATTTTGCCATCATACTGAAACAGACAAAAATAGCTACTAGACTGACAGACAAACAATACTACAGATGTCACTGGACTACAATGTCCAGAATCCCCAACCATTGTCTGTACTATCTTGTACCTAATGTCTTTCAACATCTGGGGAGATAAAAACTGGGAATCAGTGCCATAGTCTGGATTTCCAGCAACGACAATGAACCAAGGCGGTTGAAGATGTACAATTTCTGTATGAATACTGGCAGTCTGCTTTCAGTCATTTGCATTTCAGTGAGTGCTCTAGTGGCCTGTTTTGTAATTGAATATGACAATATTCAAAGCTACAGAGAATGGAGAACTTTAAGTGAGTGTGGATTTTGTCATTAACAGTGAAACGAGGGTAGAAGCTGCACCCTTTTCCTACAAATACATTTTAAAATCTACATCATAAAAATAGATAAAAATCTAATTTAGAAACGGCTTAACGTGTATGCAATTCTCTGCCAAAATCCAATTAACCAAATATGCAATCAAATATAACTGTTTCCACTTCCTAATTGGCACTAATTATAGATTAAGATAAACATCTTACTATTCACAGGTAGATGGATGATCAAGCAGGGAAAAATTGGAAGAAATTTAGAGGGCCACAGGGAGGCTGAAAAGGGTCAGATCGCATCATGTTCACAGTGAAACCTTCCTGGATGTGACAGGATCTAAACTAAGTTGAGATTTTCCAGTATCTGTCAGAACAACAGCTCAATTCTCTGAGCCCAATTTCAAGCCTAAGGCTCCATCTCACAATTATCTTAGTGCTTTCAAAGAAGGGCTAAAATGGAATAAACAGTAAAACATTTGGCAATGGATTATGGACAGGTGTGACTTTGGCTCATTTGCTCTCGATTAGCCTAGCCTATCTGATGGGGTTTGGGGGAGAATAAAGTGGGAAGAAAAGCTGTATACACAACCACTGTTTTGACAGAGAAAATTCATGACATCATTGTAACAAATAAATGGATGCAATCAGTTCTCGGGCATTCCTAGTTCCTTTGTTTATGCATCAGCTACTATAGCTCCATGGTTTAGGTAACTGGCTGAAGAGCTAGAGGTTGAAAGTTTGATTTCCTGTTGTTGTTGTTTAGTCATTTAGTTGTGTCCAACTCTTCGTGACCCCAACATGCCAGGCCCTCCTGTCTTCCACTGCCTCTTGGAGTTGGGTCAAATTCATGCTGGTCCCTTCGATGACACTGTCCAGCCATTTCATCCTCTGTCATCCCCTTCTCCTCCTGCCTTCACACTTTCCTAACATCAGGGTCTTTTCCAAGGAGCCTTCTCTTCTCATGAGATGGCCAAAGTATTGGAACCTCAGCTTCAGAATCTGTCTTTCCAGTGAGCACTCAGGCTTGATTTCCTTTAGAATGGATAGGTTTGTTCTCCTTGCAGTCCAGGGGACTCTCAAGAGTCTCCTCCAGCACCACAATTCAAAAGCATCAATTCTTTGGTGGTCAGCTTTCTTTATGGTCCAGCTCTCACTTCCGTGCATCACTACAGGAAAAACCATAGCTTTGACTATTCGGACTTCTGTTGTTTTGATTTCCTGTTATGAGCCTGCAAATACAGCCAGCCTATCTGGCCTTGGGCAAGCTGCGCAGACCCAGGGCTTTCCCAGAAGAAGGGAGCAGTAAACCATTTCTGAGTATTCTCTACTTGGGAAATCATGAAATGGGTAGCCATAAGTAAGAATTGACTTAATGGCACATGATTACTACTCAAGTATTTGCCTGAGGAGAGAAATACACAGAGGTACACTTGAGGTGCTGGGGAAGTGAGTCTTCCCTCCTCACCACAGCAGACAGTGCTATTTCTCTTTCGGCCTGATATAATCACACAAGAGAAAGTCAGAGAGGAATAGGGGGCTAGTAGCTCGCACCTCAGAGAGGTTACTCTGTACTGATAGAATCCAACAACAGGAGACAATTAGGTTGCCATTATTCAATTGTCTGGTCTCAAAGAAATGGGGGGGGGGGCGCACATATATAAATGTAACTATAGAAATGACTCATTTCAATTGCCCATAGTTACTGATGGTTAGAATATGCCCCCATGCTGCCCTGTATCTCAGAGGGCAGAATGGAAGGAACTTTGAATCTCTTCTCTGTGTGTATATGTATGTATTTGCACGCATGCACAACAGAAATGCTCCCCACGGCTCCCACTGAAGGCAATGGGAATTCCAGGTAATTGGTGCTTCAGAACTTAGGCCATGCTGGGTTTGTTATTCCTCTAAGTGCTGTTGCATTTCACAAGGATTCCCATCCCAGCGGAGGAATGGGAGGGTTTCCATAGAAACAGACTTTTAAGGGGAAGAATAGGACTAATTTCTCTAGTATTTGTTCTAGGCTTGGCAGCATGTGCTGCATAAATATACTCAACCTATGAGGGTCAAATGGCACATTACTTTTCATGTCTACATTTTAACATTCTCATTTACATATTTTATGTTTAAGGTCTAAATGCATGTTACATTTTAAAAAGTGTACTGAGCTGAGCAGTGGGCACTTTTAGTTTTTTGAGACAATGCAGATATGCAGTAAAAGCAGATGTGCTTAGTTATATATGGGCTAAACTTTTTCCTCCACATGCTGCTTTGCCGCTGAAAATTTCTCCTCCAGCTGCTATTTATCCCAAAAGATGATGTTTGCAGTAAACAGCACATCCATCATAAAAAAAGCAGCTGGGGAAGGACAATTTCCTGTGGGGAAAAGGGAGCAAGAAGCAAAAGATTAACTCTCCCTCCCCAGATACCATCCTCCTCATCTTTGCATGGCTACATCTTTCTATGGGGTGGGGGATAGCTTTCTACCCCAGGCAAAACTGGCTCCATTTGCTACTGCAAAATAAAATACGTTAATCTTTAAGGTTTCACAAGACTGTTCATTGGTTTTGCTGCAACAGGCTACACACTAACACAGCTACTGCTCTACACATACTGGATTGGTTGTCTTTAATCTCTGTTTAAAGGATCTACCTCTGTGCCTTCAAGCTACCAGTCCCCCCTTCCATGAAGTGATATACTGTTTCACATGCAGCCTTAAATCATGGAAGTAATAACTGGGTTGATAGTGTAGTTTAGGGGCTAAAAAGTTAAGGTGTAAAGGAAGGAAAGTCCTGAGACCAAATCTTTGCCCTGGCCATAAATTCACCTTCTGTTTTGACATCAGACACACAGCCTTTCCCATCTGCAATATGAGGACAATAATACTTCTCTGTGGTTACTGAAAATATGATCCACACATGAATTGTATATTGGCTGAAATCCTCCTCTTGTGTTAAAATGAAGCATTCAGGTTCAAGACACTTGTTATCAGGAATCAACTAAAGAACCTGAAAACAAAAAGTGCCAGGAATTTTTTGTGTTTTGTTCATTGTTTTGTTTTCATTCAGGTTAATCTGGAAGTCCCATTTTCATTGGGAATCACTCTCCAATGCTGGAACCAAATGTTTACACGCCAACCTTGTGCAGTGCCTAAACCAATACTACAGCAGACATTCTCACCATCATTGTTCTCATCTTCTCCACTGAAACCTTTTGGCTGAAATCCTGTTGCACCGTTAACACAAATGGTGCAACTTTTAGTTGCAAATTGCCATAAATTAAGAAATCACCATGCACATTATCTGTTGTACACCGAGTTGTTCAAATATGAATGAAATCCAAAAGTTTTCCCTGTGCACATTTCTAATTCCCAATGCTTATAGACTTGCTGAAGGGTGTGATCTCTTTAGTAAAACTCCTTGCAACCCCAAGTGCTAAGAATAATAAAGATTAAATGGGAACCTGATATTTGCGGTGTAGGGCAGCAGATGGGAACAAACCTGGATGGTGGGAGCTTATTACCTTGTTAAAAACCTTTTCCTTTATGGTCGTCTTGTACTGTACATTGAAGGACTACACACCTGAAATATAATTATCATTTCTGTTGCGTCATCCCATGGTTCTGCAGCAAAATATTGTGGCAACGCAGCATTCCAACGCAGTTATTCCAAGGAGGGCATGCCCATCTCCCCCTTCTTCTTCACAATTTTTTTGTGTTATGTTTTCAAATGACAGCATTCAGGAGCTCCTAATCTTATTCAATCCTCAGTGCTCTGTTGGGAGTAACTCCTATTCTAGTTTTTAAAACTTCTGCAAACCTTGTTCCCCCAAGCATTCTGATACATAGTTTTTGTTTATCATTGCCCCCACTTTGCCACATTTCTGTTGGCATCTTTTAGTCACCGTTAGAAGAAATGATGTTATGAAGAAAACAGAGTAGCCCTGAGTCAGGTGGGTTTACCTTGTGTTTCCAGATTTTCACACAGTTCCGATTTGGCTTCTCCATTGGGGCGGAAGCCTCCTTTCTGAGTGAATTTGTTGGACATGGTGGCTGCTGTCACCACTGCCTTGAGACTGCGCTTACGTTTCGGCACATTTTGCTCTGGATGGAAAAGGATGATGTAGACCTTGGGCATGTACAGCATGCCCAAAGAGACAGAGGCGCTTAGGCTCACCGAGATGGTCAATGTTGTCGTCTGAATGTACATCTGCAAGACACAAGGAAACAGACTCAGCCGTGAAATCTCCTGCCCTAAACTATTGTAACGATCTGCCTGGAATTGGGAATAATTGCTTAGAGAACCATGAAGACAGAAAAGATTATGGGACAATTACTCTGAGTGAAAGAATGAACAGAGCAGAGCAAAATAAACAAAGAAACATAGTCATGTGGTTCATGAGCAAAATCCAAGTCATGGTTGGGTAATATCTTTATTGGCCCACTGAAATATTCCCCCAAAAGGAATCAATCTCCTTCTACCCACTAAGTAATTTGGCTTTCGTTGATTACTTCTGCCTTGTGTGCCATCTGAAATTAATCTTCAGCCCATGAACATATTTCTTGGTATTTCTACTTGCCACCAAAAACAGGAGCTGTCCACTTGAACAAGAGGCAATGAGGAGAATACCAAATGACCAGCTGCCCTTTATCTTTAGAGCTGAAAATCAACTGACTTTATATCAATAAATATATAATCTAATCTGACACCAACACACCTCAAACTCATTCTTCATGTTTGCTGCCTCCCTCCAGGAGCTAAAACCTAACTTTGAATTCTGTGATTCAACATCTAGTCAGCATAACTTTTGGATTTTTGTCTCCCCCCCCCCAGTCCCAAGGCTCGGAATATATAGGCTGATGAAAAGTCATGAGGACTCACAAGCAAGCATTTTGAGGATATTTCAGTGCTTTAATAAAGCTATTACCCAACTCAATTTTGGAATATCTATTCACAGTGGGAAATATCTATCCCAGGAGGTGGCTAGCATGAGATTATCTGAAAAGAGTTGCTCTGTTTAGGCGAATAAAGCAAAAGTCACTTTATTGGCATCTCACTGTGACCTTGCAAGAGCAGTGGCACTCCTGCATAATGCATATAGGGCTTCAATAAGCTTGGTTTAGAACTGTTATCTGTATCATTTTTATGTTGTTATTAGATGGCTTGAGCTGTCAGGAGAAGGGAGGTACACATGACTTGAATAAATATGTAAAGAGATGCTAAATAAATGTTGATCACTTTTGCTAATCTAAATAAGAAGAGAGTTTGCAAGTCATAAGGCGGAGGTGTCCTACAATACTAATTGTGAATGTTTTGATTAAACACACTTTTGTATCTCACTCTACAACATTATAGTTTACCTATATTTCAAACTCTGAGTTGATAAACCTGAATAGGAGGGCTGATAAAACATGCTTATTGTATTCATTAGTTGACTAAATTACAGTGGTGCCTCAACTTGCGAACATCCCTACTTACAAAATTTTCGAATTACAAAAAGTTCCGGCTGCAAAATATTGCTTCGACTTGTGGCCGGAGCTACGAGTTACGGACAGAAAAAAATGTGGGGGAGGCAGGGAAATCAAAATAACAATTGGGACTGAATACATCAAAAGCTAGAAGACTAACAGAAATATCTTGATCTTTATACATAATAATTAAAACTATGTGAAAAGTTTAAAAGAGAATCACCACCTCCTATCAGGCATGTAGATAAAGGCTAGTATGTATGAACTGGGCAACAGCAATATAAATTTCATACACCTCCTATCAGGCATGTAGAAATTTCATACACAACGAATATGCAGTGCAACACAAGTGTAAAAATAATGACAGAAAACAATATTCAGTAGAGGCAATATATCAATAAAGTTGACGAGCATACTAGCCCTTCATGATTCAAACGGGATGTCCCCAATTAATCAGTAAAGGCTTAACTGATTAGTTTACTGATTACAAGTTGCTGCCCTACTAATTAGCCACAGAGAATGCTTGTGATCCTTGCCTGCATTACAGTGGTGTGACCTCTGCTACTCACAACCATTCATTTTGTTGCATCCTTAAAAGCATCCTGACATCATTGTACCATTTGCTCATTCCTTCTACATAAACATTTCACTGTGAGTATCTACTGTAGCCCATCCTCTAGTCTCTAACAGCCTGGCCTCCTTTTAATCTCTTGTAGTACTGGCAGCAAAGAAGAGGCTGAGATACCGTACAATCCCAGTTATGAATACAAAAAAATGCAGGCATGTGGACAGCTCCCCTATTTTTAGAACCCTCCTCCAGCTCCTTCTCCTCCCCTCTCCTCCCTGGGTGTGCAGAAGAACCCCTTTCTTCATTCAATAAGTAATTCTCATTCACCAGCTCACTTCCTGAGCTGTTGTAATGTTAGTCACATATTACACACCGACGTAGCCTTTCTGCAGTCAAAACTAATTTCACGCTCACTGTCCAGGACTAACGGTGACAGATGTTTCGCAAAATGAAAGCCCATTAATCTGACTGTAGAATAATCCATTTTTCTATGGAAAGGGCCTGGCAGGCATCTCGCAAATGGGGTGTGTGTACAGCAGATAGTGCTGGGAAGGGCATATCTCCTCCCTTTGTCCAATCACAGGAGAGATAGCAGAGCTCGGACACCCTTTGACACCACAAATGAAAAGTCAGCCTTCTTATTTTAGTATGGGTCTTCCTGCTTCTTTCTCCTCTTCACTCTTTAGCTGAATCAGGCCTGTGAACACAATGACTAATGACTCACATGACCCACATCATAGCTAGTATTGTTTGTATTAATTCTGTGCAGCAATTTTACTATATAAATTTTCATATTTTAATACTAAATTTGCACCACAATTTTAGATCCGTCCAGCAATTGGCTAATAAGGGTACAAAGGCAGGACCTAAAGCAGTATATCCAATTTTTGGATGTATTACCTTCACCTGGCAGAGAAGCTATTTCCTGCCTCCCCAAAATTTCAGAAAGCATGCAAAAAGAAACATTGGGTGACATAGTTTTGTGAATTATCCCATATTACAAACTATCCAAACATAAACCAGTCTGTTTGACATTCTTGGCTTGATTCTAAGAGGCTATTTCTGGACTCCACCCCAGGAGTTGGGAATACTATAAGAATGGAACAATGGCTGTATATATGAACAATGGTTGAATATATACAGTATATATACTGTATATATCAAACATTAACCAGTCTGTTTGACATTCTTGGCTTCATTCTAAGAGGCTGTTTCTGGACTCCACCCCAGGAGATGGGAGTACTGTAAGAATGGAACAATGGTTGTATATATGAACAATGGCTGAATATATACAGTATATATATATATTCTCAGAAAAAAGAAAAGCCCTCCCAACAGCTAGAGTACTTGCTATATTCTTGCTATGTATATAGTGGTAGCCAACATTCCCTCTAATTTTCAGCCCCACTGGTTGGAGCTCTCCTTCTTGCACGCACAACATCACTCCCGTGAATGTGCAGTTTCCATGGGGTTCCATCATGACCAAAACCAAAGGGGCTGTAAATGGTTGGTGCACGAAGGAGGAACAAGGCGGCACTGAGGGGAGCAGAGTTGCACATACATGCACAGGTACATACCTTAGAAGGTATCCTGGCGGCAGTTCTTGGTTAGAAACTGCACAGGCAATTTTAGATGGTCATTTACCCTCACCCTTCCTTCCACAGCCCCACATTATCTATGCTTGACTCCAATTAGACTACTGATGAGCACTTAATGGCCTTCCAGATATTATTGGACTCCCATGAGTCTTCACTATGGCTATGTTGACTAGGACTGATGGAAAGTGCAGTACATCAACATCTGTGGGATTGAAGTTGCCCACCATGGTAGTAACCTCTAGAACAGTCTTCTCCACCTAGGTTCTTCCCTGATTTGTTGTTCAAATAACTAGCTATCAGGACCAGACAGTCTAATGGTCAGAAATGCTAAGAGCTGAGATCTACAACATCTGGAGGTTTTTTGTTTGAGAAAGGATTATTTCATTTTGTTCTCATTTTAAAATGTGTGCATAGTTTCATGCACAATGTATTTCTCTGAATCACACTACTGTATAAACTTTGTGAATGTGTGAATTCTAGAAGTGAGATGCATTACTTCCAGCTACTGCTTAAGGACAGTCTTTCAGCTTATTAAATAGAAAAAGTAAAATTATTTCTTACAATAAAAAAGAGATAGCTAGATAGCTAGATAGCTAGATAGCTAGATAGCTAGATAGCTAGATAGCTAGATAGCTAGATAGCTAGATAGCTAGATAGATAGATAGATAGATGCAGCAATCCAGAGCTCTGTGAAGGAAGAAATTTTCTCATAGGCAACCATATCAGAGTATTAAAGGCTGCTGAGACCCAGCCCTTAGGTCTACCAATGGGGGCCCCAGCATCACCTTGTCTCATTCTTAACCTTTCAGGAGGTGGGAGAATCATTTAGATCTCTGCTAGAGTCTGTGTGAATTTCTAGTGGGAGATATGAAAAAATGTAACACTGAGTACATTGTTTATTACTTACAACCTGCTAATATGCTGTTGCTGAACTTTGAGGTGAGCTCAAATTGAACATTAATAGGGATCACAAAACATTAGACAAGCATTTGGGGCCAAATTATGAAATGGATCTTATTATAGATGGTTTAGTTAAAAGAAGAAAAAAAGAGCACCAGAAAAATGCTATCTTTTTTTTCCTTTTTATGTTATTTCAATGATTCTTAAAAGAAATCCTCCAAAACATCAATGCTTTGTATTTTAAAAAGATGTTTTGTGTTTCTTCTGGGCTCCTTGTCACCCTTTGCATGTAAACCCTTCTTTCACTCTTTATACGTCACATTGACGTATCAGTTTTTCGTCCAACAGTATCACGAGGGCTATTACAAAACATGGTTGTGTGAACAACAATGGCTGTCAGCAGCCAATCAGAAAGTCCAGGAAGGAGAGTAAAAATAATTTTGCATGTGTAGAACGGCCTGGAACTAAGTGAGGAGTGTATTACTTTTCTTCAGTTGTTGATAATGGGTGGGGTTACTTCTGCTCTCCATCTTTGATTGTTTTTGCCACCTGCTTGCCTATCTGACTCCATTCCTGTGCTTCCATCTTGGATCCTTTCTTGCATTACAAAAGTTTTTTTTTCAAAGATCCCCACCCCCTCATTTCTTTGGATTATATGTGCTGCTGGGAGGCAGC